GCTTCCCAGCCTGTGAAGAAAAGAAGAGCTTTGTTTTCATTTGTCGACTCGCCAAGTCAGGGAAAAAGGGTTCTTGTGCAGCTTGTGTTGTTCTTTAATAAGTGCAGACAATGGTAGCCCGGTTGCTCGAGGTAAGGCGCCGTTTCTCTGTAGTTTTCTTGACATTAAAAACTCGAAATTTCGTGAAGATTTGCTTTTATTTTTTTTGTCATGTTGAATTTGATTTCTGGAGAAAATTCGCCTTTGAAGGAAATGTTGAGTTTACAAAATCACCTCTTCTATTCAATTAAACTGTAATTGTCAACATTCCATCGAGCGAAAAATACTGCTCAGTAAAGTTAACCGGAAAACGCTCTTTTGAATGCTTTGAAGTCTTTTCTTACCTTCAAAAAAATGGACCCTAGGATTCTGCCGAGTTCTGAAAGGTTCTTACTCTAAAAAAGATTGGCAAAACACCGAGCTAACGCATTATTTACTCGCGAGGCTAAAACGCTACAAAGATCACTGAGTGTGTATCCTGAAAACGATTTTTGCTTGTAAAAGCTTTATTTGTGTAAGGTTATTTGTGTTTTTTCATGTTGCAAACGGTGTTGAAATAAATACGACAGTATGAAAATCTCATCTGGAGTTTATTTACTTTTATGTGGTTTTACCAAGCCTCATATTTTCCTGGGTGTCTAGAAAACGACGACCTAGAAAACGATGACCTAGAAGACGACGACCTAGAAAACGACGACCTAGGAAACGACGACCTAATAAAAAAAAAACCGTGGGGAGGGCGGGGGGGGGGCTAAATAGAGGTGTGCGAAATGCTCCATCCCCGGACAAAACCAAAATAGCATTTTCCACTATTTATTTAAGCTGCAAATGTCATATTCATAGCAAATCTCAGGGTAATCTTATCAACAGCGCCAAACACCCACGCAAATCGCTGCTTGCCGCTAGTTACCCGGGGCTAGTTATAAGTAATGCTAAGGTCGGTCAGCGGTCAGCGAGCATGATGGCCGCGTTTTTTGCTGGCTCTGCCAACTTGAGATAACTTCTTGCTTTTGCTTACGTAAATCTTACTTTTTCTTTTACAAACTTAACAAACAAGTAACAAACAATGTCATTTTTCCTTTACTTTTTTAATTACTAATCTCAACTCCTTCGTTATACATAACTTTAAGAGGCACAATATTAGTTTATCTAGATGTGCCCCTCTCCTCTCCTTCCAATATACAATGTAATTCAATTTAAGTGTTGTAATTTCTGTCTTACGCGTTTTTTCCTTTGTAAATTTTTATTTGTTTCTATATTACTTTTTTTTACGTTATATTTACATAACTATGTATCAGCTAGGAATTGGAGGAATAAATAAAATAAAAAAATAAATAAATAATGCTTAAGTCAATAGGTCTTATTTGCACGTGCGGCACACTTTTTTGCACATCGTAGTACGTGCGGACGATTCTCTCAGAACCCAAATTTCTTGGATGCATTTTGGGCACTTTCCATTCAGCCAAAACTTAAGAAACTATGGAAACAGTGGCAAATGGTACAGTATTTTCCCGGAAAAGTTTCCAGACTTCCGGAAACTTTTCGGAAATGCGAACCATTCAACCAGAAATTTTAGACATTGGGAGCAAAGTTGAATGGGGAAAGAAAACTTCCCAAAAATAATTTTCGAAAATTTGGGTATATATCGCGAAAATGCTGTTCCATTCGGTACTGCATGGAAGTTGCCGAAAATTTAAACCAGACGTTTTGATTGAATGGAATAGCAACCAAAATTTATTGTTACTTATTGTGCTCCCTTTGCGCGCGAGCGCGAGAGCTCTACTAAAAAAGTTTCTCAAGTCAAATTTTCCTTTAGTATGGTCAATGAAGTCATGGTTCAGCCTGACTGAATACTGGAAGCAAAAGGGTCCGTGCACACTTCGGCCAATCTAATTTTCCATTTTTCCAACAAAAACGGAAAAAGGAAATATTACTTATCCTTATCATATTTACATATTTTAAAGTACAGACAAAAATAGAAAAAAAGAAAATGGTCAGGAAAATTGATCATTTTCTCATTTTTCTAATTTTGAAGTCCGTTCAAAAATACAAAAAATACCGTAAACGGCTAAAAGAAATATTTTGCTATTTTTTATTTTCTTGCTATTGTTAGAAAATGAGAAAATAATGTCCAATTCCTAATTCATTTTTCTATTTTTCCGTTTTTCGCCAAAAATAGAAAAACGGGAAAATGAAAAAAATCATATTTATTCGCACCATTTTTTCATTTTTTCCGTTTTGTTCAAAAAATGATAAAATGGAAAAAAAGCATACTTATCGCCCAATAAGAAAAATGGAAAAAATGACAAGTGTTGCGAGCAAGTATCTATTTTCCATCTTTTTAATAAATAGCAAAACTTTAAAACGATAGACCCTTTCAGACAGTTTTTCATTTTTTATTTTATTGAAAAATGGGGCAGAAAACTGAGAAGTTTTCGTGTGGTGTCCCTCAAGGCTCCGT